GTGGTCCAGGTGCATAGCCGTTATGCCAACTGCTGGTTCCCCCATTAATCACTTTTTTTTTTTTTTTTTTGAGAGGTCTTCGCCATAGGGCGCGTGCACTCGCCAGACAGACAGAGACATAGAGACAGAAAGCGAGAAATCACCCCCCAGGGGGATAGTTGTGCCGCAATCCCTTCTCCTCCATTCTCCTCTCGGGATCTTGGGCACGCACGCACACACGCCTGGCGTGAGTTTTAAGCCACCGGGTCCGGGACGCGAACCGCGGTCAACTACGTGGGAGTCCAGCGACATAGCCATTACACTAACTGCTGGTTCCCCCCACCCCATGAATCACTTTTTAAACTAGCTTATTATCACTGCTGTATACACTTATTGGGCAAAAATGGGCTCGTGCCACATGAACTGTTTCATCACAACTACCACTTGCCCTTTTTATTTTATTTTATTATTTATTTATTTTTTTATGTATTTCGAGTTTTTTTTCCCTAGGGCACATGCACTATGGGGGTGGAGGGAGTGGGAGGAGAGAGAGACAGAGACAATGAGAAATCACCCCCTGGGGGGATGACCACACTGCACACACTGCAATTCCTTCTCCATTCTCCTCCCAGGATCTTGAGCGTGTGCGTACGCGGGCACACATGTGCACACACATACACACAGCCGGCGTGAGTTTCAAGCCACCAGGTTCAGGATTGGAACCATGGTCGGCCATGTAGGAATCCAATAACGTAAGCTCTATGCCATCTGCTGGCCTGCCATCTGCCCTTTTAACTTGACCACCTATCTATGCCTATACTTATAAATATTAGGTTGCTGGAGAAGTCATGACACGAAAAAAATGTCATGACTTTCTTGACAACCCCATAGCTATTACCTTTTCTTTGCAGGGAGAGTAAACTGGCTTAGGGAAAGTTAGTGGCTTCTCCAGAGTCTCACAGTGGAGCCTCGTATAGCCAAGAGCCCCACAGTCTTAGCTGAAGCAGAATCCTCAGGGGAGAAGCCTGCCTTGCAGCAGACAGGCCATTCTTGCATTTGTGGGTTTAAAGACGTTACTGTAATCGACCACCTTTCTAGGCAGTGATATTTTGGGCTCAGAGATTTAGACTGCAAAGCTCCTGCCCTTGGAGTAGCGACCTTCCCTGTGTGTGGGGGGGGGTGGGGTGTGGGGAGGGGTGGGAAAAAAAGACCAAGCCCAAGAAATTTCACCACCTGGACCGACTGTGTTTGGTGCAAATCCCTGGCAGGTGTTTTGAGTTTCAAAATAAATTGTGGGGCAAGGAGCTCTCCTTTATTAAAAAAAAAAAAAAAAAATCTGCTTCTACTGATAGTTTCTCAAGGGTAACAAGGAGAGGGATTGGGGCTAAGAGGATAAGGGGGGAAAGGAGGAGATCTTGGGTTCTAAAAACTCTCTTTTTAGGTTTTTGCCATAGGGCACATGCGTTCACTGCAGAGAAATAGTGAGAGGGAAAGTGAGAAATCACTCCCCCCAGAGGGGATGGTCACGTTGCAGACCCCTCTTTTCCATTCTTCTCCTGGGATTTGGGGCACACATGCACATGTACCTGGTGTGATTTTCAAGCCCCCAGGTCCAGGACTCGAAACACAGTCAGCCATGTGGGAGTCCAGTGCCTTGACCACCACACCACCTGCTGCCCTGTGTTCTAAAAATTCTCATCTTGTAGGAGATGCCCCGCCACAAAATGGCTGCTTGTCCCCTGTTCTGGGAACACCGCCCCCTCCTCTTCTGTCCATACAAAGTGAATAGTCAGGACCCGTTTTCTCCTTAGGAGAGAAGATGGGGTGAAGTGCTTTGTAGAGAGACTGGGTCCTTCCATTGTCCCTGTAAGACTGTAGGAACTCCACACCTGCAGACTTAAGGGCCTGGTTCAGTCCAACTTCTGCTAGAACCAGGCAGGATCTGAAAGGGCGGAGGGTGGGGCAGGGTCATTCTGTCCTTGAGCACTTTCTGCTAAGTGCATTCAAATCCCTCTGTTCAGCGTGCTTATAGGAACAATCAGAAGTACAGAGGTCTGAGCTCTCACCCTGTTTACAGCCAGAGACACTAGGCTTAGAGAGGCTTGAGTGACTTGCCTGAGGTTATACTTCTGAGGCAGCCGGAGCACAAAGCCAGGCTTGTCTTCCTTTCTGGAGGACAAACCTGTGTGCCTCCTCTCACAGGCATGTGGCCAGGATTCATTTGTTCATTTATTCATTTACTCGCCAAATGTTTATGGTATCATTGCTGGGGCACCATGCTGAGCCCCAGGAGCTCAGCAAAAACAAGGCAGACCCGGTCCTGGGCTCACAGGGCTGGGCAATCGCGTTCTGGTGATAAAGAAATGAGCAATTATAATAGAAAGTACCAAATACTGAACTACAGAGCAGTGGTTGGTTCTCAGCCCTCTGTGCCATCTGAAGCAGGTTTGGGACTTGAAAGGAAAGCCAGGGGTCAGCAGGTGGCATGGTGGTTAAAGCGCTGGACACTCCCACATGGCCGACTACGGTTTGAGTCCTGGACCTGGTGGCTTGCTTTTTCACTTTCCTTCTCTCAGTGTGTCTGTCTCTCTCTGGTCAAATTAAAATGAATGAATGAATAAATAACATAAATAAGTAAAAGGAAAACTGGGATCCAGGCTCCTCCCTCAGTAGGTGTGCACGAGGGCTGTAGTGTGTGTACAAGTTCTTACGTGGTTCTGATTCACACTGGGGTTAGAACGAACACTAAGGGGAAACAGTTTTGATGACAACAGCTCTTTTTTTAAAGTACTATTTATTTGATTTGTTATTATTATCATTTTTGAATTTGACAAGAGAGAGAAAGTGAGAAAGCAAGCTACCAGGTCCAGGACTTGCACCATGATTGACCATGTTGGAGTCCAGCACCTCAGCTTCCATGCCACCTGCCAGCCCCGTAACAGGAAATGTATCAGGCATTAGGCTTTGTTCTTTTCTTTCTTTTTGCTACAGGATGTGTGTACTTACCAGAGAAAGGCAGAGAGGGAGGGAGAGGAGACAGTATCCCCCAGGAGGAATGATTATGCCACAATCCCTTTTCCTTCTCTTCCTCCTTTTGGGATTTGGGTACACATGCACATGTGCCTGGAATGTTTCTCAAGCTGCTGGGCCCAGGGCTTGAACCACATGGTTGGCTGTGTGGGACCCAGCCACTCTTTTTTTAATTTCTTTGCTTTTTAGGTTTTTGCCATGTGCTTGCTGGAGAGAGACAAAGACAGAGAAAGGGAGATTGAGAAATCACCCCTAGGGAGGATGGCCATGCCACAATCTCTTCTCCACTCTCCTCTCCAGATCTTCGGCACACATGCACACGTGCCCAGCATGTTCTTCAAGCCACTGGATCCGGGACTCGAACTGCAGTTGACCATGTAGGAATCCAGTGCCTTAAGCACCATGTCACCTGCTGGCCCTGGGACCCAGCTGCCTTAACCACAAGGCCATGGAACCAGCCCAAGTTAGTTCTTTCCACTGATTTCCCATGTCACCCTATGAAGTAGGTGTTATATACTTGTTTCAGAGATGAAGAAACGGAGGCTCAAGACCTGAGTTGAAGCTGAGATTCAAACCAGGCCTCACTGACTGTGGCCTGAGCTCTAACGAGCAAACATGATGGCCAGCCCTCACAAAGTTACAAAGAAAACAGTCCAAGTGCAAAACTCTTCCAAGAGCCTAGAGAAACGCAAGGGTTAACAGTCTTGTAGCGTTCTTGTTTAACGTACTTAAACAGCAGATTCCTTCCAGAAGCCACATGGCTGCTGTGAGAGTCGAGAAGTCCATTAGCCTGTTATTAATGACTGGATCTAAACCCTTCCAGTGGACAGCGCCAAGAGATGCTTTTAATACGCTCTGTTCTGAGGTAAGGGCAGGGAGCCTCTCTCAGCCACCGCTTCTGCACACAGAACATTGGTGTGGTCCTCCAAGAACCCACAGAGCCAATTTCATACCACGACTGGGACTCTCCAGAGACACCCCGAACCACACCCCCATCAAACACAAGAAAACCACTTCTCTCTCTCCACCATGACTCTCTGGCCTCCTCCCCGAGAGGTGATTCTGTTGGCCATAGCAGGGCCCAGTGCAGACCCCTTCCTCATACCTGCCCTTGCTGGAGCCCCTAGCGATATCTGATCTCACCAGACATCTGACACAGCACCCCAAACCTCAGCTGTTGGAAAGGTCATTCCCCTATTCCTGGCTTGGCCCAGTCCCTGATTGAGCTGTGCAACTGTGACTGTCACTAGCTCTGCCTCTGGCCTTGAGGAGCCAATCTTCTGTCACGCAGCCATCTGGGTGTGTCTCTCCAGCCACTTGGCCGACTCCAGTCCATGCCTGAGGCAGTCGCTGGTCATCCCTGTCCCAGGGCTGGGGAGCAGCAGGTTGGAGAGGGCCAGTTCTGTCTCTGAGGACATGCTGTTCCTAGTCCCCAAGAGACAGACCTCCTGTTTCCCTTGGGAGCTGAGAAAACCTCTTCGCCTAAAGAGTGAGAAATGTGCCAGCAGTGGCATGGTGGTTAAGGCACTGGATCCCACATGGCCAACTCTGTGGTTCGAGTCCCAGACCTGGGACGTGCGTGAGTATCCAAAATCCTGAGAGGAGACTGGAGGAGAAGGGACTGTAGCACGGCCATTCCCCCTAGGGGATGATTTCTCACTTTCCCTCTCTGTCTCTCTGTCTCTAGTGAGCAGGTGAGTACATGCATCCTATGGCAAAAATCTTAAAAAAAAAAAAAAAAAAGAAATGAGATGCTTCGGTTCATCTATTTGTTAAACATTTGTCTGTATCTCAGACACTTGCTAAACAAAATCCTGCTCTAGCTCAGTGGAGCGCATGCAGTGAACTGTCCGTGCCCCTACAGATCCGAAGAGGAGCTGATATTCTGGCCCTGGGAGGCAATGGAGGAGCTCCCGGGACTGGAAGCGAGCAGATGCTGGTTCATCCCAGCTCCGTTCCCTGTCTGTTCCCTTGGGCCGGTCACTGCTCTGCAACCTCCACTTCCTCTATTGCAAAGAGGTCTGCTTCTCAGGCTTCTGATCATTAGAGGTAGCACTCTTTTTAAAACATTACAGAATTATTTATTTTGTTCATTACTTTTTAAAGAATTATTTTATTTAACTTTATTTATTTATTTAAAATTTGACCAGAGAGGGACAGAGCACGAGAGAGAGGGAAAGTGAGAAAGCAAGCTGCCAGGTCCGGGACTCAAACCGCTATCGGCCACATAGGAGTCCTCTTTCGTACTGTCCAGAGAGACAGAGACAGTGAAAGGGAAAGTGAGAAATCACCCCCCAGGGGGGATGGCTATGCTGCAGTCCCTTCTCCTCTGTTCTCCTGGGACTTTGGGCATACATGCACATGTGCCCAGAGTGATTTTTAAGCCACCAGGTTGAACTGTGGTTAGCCACGTGGGAGTCCAGTGTGCCTTGACCACCGCATCACCTGCTGGCCCCAAAACTTCACAGTTTTTTACAGTATGGAAATTGCCATTTAACAAAAATGTTTTTTAAGTTTATTATTTTTTTTTGAATGGTTTTTGCTATAGGGTGTGTGTGCTCGCCAGAGAGACAGAGAGAGACACAGAAAGCGAGAAATCATCTTCCCAGGGGGATGGCCACACCACAATCCCTTCTACTCCACTCTCCTCTTGGGACTTGAACTGTGGTCAACCACATGGGAGTCTAGTGACATAGCCATTACACCAACTGCTGGTCCCAAAAGGTTTTTTTGAATAATTATTCTATTTAACTTTATATTTGACCAGAGAGGGACAGAGCGAGAGCGAGTGAGAGAGAAAGCGAGAAAGCAAGCTGCCAGGTCCAGGACTTGAACCCTAGTTAGCTATTTGGGAGTTCAGCGCCCTTAACCACCATGCCATCTGCCAGCCCTGAAATTGCCTTTTTTTTTGGAGAGGTTTTCGCTAAAGGGCGCGTGCGCTCGACAGAGACAGAGACAGAAAGCGAGAAATCACCCCCCAGGGGGGATGGTCACGCCGCAAACCCTTCTCCTCCATTCTCCTCTCGGGATCTTGGGCACGCACGCACACGCGCCTGGCGTGAGTTTTAAGCCCCCATGTCTGGGACACGAACCGCGGTCGACTACGTGGGAGTCCAGCGACATAGCCATTACGCTAACTGCTGGTTCCCGAAATTGCCATTTTTCAAAGGAAACTAGAAAGATTTTAAAAATAACTTGTGAATGTTGTTTTGCTTTTCACAGAGTAGGTAAAAAATAATGCATGAGGCTGCAGTATGAGCTCATTCTGATGAGAAAGCTCACAAAATTCACAAGTTATTTTCATGATAGGCAGAAAAATGTGTGTGTTGGGACCAGCACTTAACGTAATGGCTATGTTGCTGGACTCCCATGTAGTTAACCGTGGTTCATGTCCCAGACCCTGTGGCTTAGAACTCATGCCGCGGGTGTGTGCGTGCGTGCCCAAGATTCCAAGAGGAGAATGGATGAGAAGGGATTGCCGTGTGGCCATCCCCCCTGGGGGGTGATTTCTTGCTTTCTGTCTCTCTGTCTCTCTCTGGTGAGCGCACGCGCCCTATAGCAAAAACCTCTGCAAAAAAAGAAAAATGTGTGTGCTTTCTCTGCCTCTTGATTCAGTTGCATGAGGACAGAGCAGAACTGTCTTTGAGCTGGACATCAGGACACCCCGTTTATAGCATGTAACCCAGGACCCACTGCTCTCTGGGAAGAGGAGGGAGCCCTTGAATAATTGCTCTCAGCCCCTGAACTCAGTTGCCTCCTTGCTGGTTTTCCAATAGCACAGAACTGCTTTATTCCCAAGAATGGTGGGTGGTACCTTCTCTCCCACTGGGCAAAAGGACTTTCTAGGCCTCTCTGTCCCCATCTCCTCTTAGAGGGAAACAGACTGGCTCCCTCTGCCCCATTTCCCTCACTCCTCTCTCCTCTCCCTCAGGGTTGGGCCCCTCGCTGCCCTCGCTGCTGCCCACTGTGCGACTGTGCCTGCGCGTGCCAGCTGCCCGACTGCCAGAGCCTCAACTGCCTCTGCTTTGAGATCAAGCTCCGATGAGGACTCAGGGTCCCTGCCCTTTGGGCAGCAGCCAACCCCCAGGGCCCACGTGCCGTCTGCCCTAAGGAACTTTAGGGCATCTTTCTCTAGGTCGCTGGAACCACAGATGGCCTGCCTGGCTCACTGGCCTGGGAGCCAGCAGTGGAGAGCCTGGCTCCGGGCAGGGCAGGACTCAGACAGCCTTTGGCCAGGTGGAGTGCAGCGTCTTTGGAGGACCAGGAGAGAGGGGAGCTAGTGCTCTGGCAGGTGCACCTGCCCCTCTTCCCCAAGTAAATGATGACATGTGAAGGTGGGGGCGGGGGGGGACACTGCTCACCACAGACTGCACTATGGGAGGAACTTGGATTTTGAGTGGCAGGAAGTAGGGGTACCTCAGCCACACCTCTTCCGTGGATTCTTGGTGGTTTTAGGTAAGTGTCCTGCCTGCAACTTGGCTCCCTCTGAAACAAAATGGGGGAGGGGGCTCCAGAGAATCAAAGCAGCCACCATCAAGGCAAAGAGGCATGGAAGGCGGGGAGGGTCACATGACCCGTCTCCTTACCCCTTTTCCTCCCTGCAGATCCCTGTGCAAAGATTTGTTTCTCCTGACAACCAAGGACTTCAGTCTCGATTTCTCAGGAAGAAATTGCCTCTGAAAAACCAGTGAGTAGGCAGGGGGCCCCCTCCTCCCCCCAATAGGGGCAGACCCAGGCTTCCTTGCCCTTCCCCCATGCTGGGCCCCACGCTGGCATGAATGTCAGGGGCTTCAGGTTTCCCTAAATATAGGTGTCTGCCAGGGGATCCGTTGTGGGGAAAGGGCAGGGGTCACTGGAGAAGGTTCGGGACACTGGTGAGGGGGAGGGCAGGAGCTGCCTTATAACCCAGCCCGGGTCCGCCTGACTCACTCGCTGCTGACCAGGCTCTGCCGGCTCCTTCAGCTTTGCCGCAGGTGGGCAGCTAGCGGATTGAACGCAGGTGGGGTTGGGCCTGCGGGGTTCGGGTGAGGAGGGGAAAGCTAGCCGGTAGGAATAGAGGGCTCGGAAAGTCTCTGGAAGGCGGATCTGCTCAGGGACGGATTTTATTTTGGAGGAAAAAAAAGTCAGGTTCAAGGAAGACGTTTTGCAGGGACTGTGTCACACCCCGGAGACTTGCTTCAGTCAAGCCCTGACCGGTCAATTTCCGCGTAGTCTGGTTCTCGGTGGCGGCTGGGGATACTGGCTTGTCTGCGCCGGCCTGGGGCGGAGAGCGCGTGCACTTTTGCAGACCAGGGTGGGGCCTTCCCGGAGCCAGACCCTGCACTCCTGGGGCAGAGGCACTCGGAGCCAGACCACAAGAGATGGCATTCTCAAGGACAGGGCCCTGCATGGATAGGGGAAGCCCCTGCTGCCCTTTCCGCTCACCCGAGCGTCTACTTGCGGCTCTTTGCTCTGCCTCTTTCACGCCTGGACTGGGGACAGGAGGGATCGGCCGCATGCCCTACGCAGTACACAGCCGGCCAGGCTGGCAGACGCCCGACCTCTCCATTAAATTACCGAGTGACACACGCCGCAGCCACGCAGCCGGAAGCTGGGGCTGCCCCGGGCCGCGGGGCTGGGTCAGGGAGGGGAAGCCGAGCCTTCAGCCTTCGTCTTTTCTGACTCTACCACTGTCTTCCCCCATTTCCCCATCCCCTACTCCTCCGATGGCAAAGTAAGAGCTGAGTCACGGCGCTCCAGAGCGCGCCAGGCGCGGGGAAAGCGAGAGGGAGGGGAGGGCTCTGGCGACCCGCGGGATGTGGCCCGAGTCACGTCCGAGGAGAGCAGGGAGGGATCATGTTCTCGCCGCCTAGTCCCCCCTAGCGCCGCCTCCAGCTTCGCCTCTGCGGGTTAGGCTCCCCACCGTTCTCGCTGGTCATTGGACAGTCCGGCTCCCTGCAAGGGAAAAACCCCAGCAGAGGGAGGAGCGGTGCCTTTAAAGGCTGGGCGCCACCTCCCGCACGTCAGCCCCGGCCAGCGCCGCCCCTTCGCGAGCTGAATAGGCTGCGTTCCTCTCGGAACGCGCCGCAGAACCGGGTGCTGGTGACGGCCACCGCGTTCGCTCCCGCAGTCCACTCGCCGTTCGCCGTCCGCCGCCCCCCCGCAGGCCCGCCCTCGTCCGGGGCCAGGTGAGCGCTTCTTGTCACATGTAGGTTGGGACAGCGGAGAAGGGTCCTGAGGGCAGCGGCGGGGCGGGCAGCGACGCGGCGCCCCTACTCCCACCCCTCCCAGCCATCTCCCTACTCCCACCACCCACACACTTGCCCCCAGCCCGGACTCCCCAGCCCTCTCCTGCGTGAGCACCCTGGGTTTGCTGCGCAACCGCAGCAACTCGGCGCTGAGTCATGGCGGGGGAGGAAGCAGGCCGGGATAGAGAACCTTTCCCCCTCCCCTTTTCTCGCAGGACCCCTGGTGCCAAAGATTAGGGCCCCTCTGTCTCTTGAGGGATCCCGACAGACAGCGAGGGGAGGGGTCGGCTCACACACTGCCTGGGGCCCTCACAATCACAGCCCCCCAGTGGGCCTTGGTTTCTGCCCTGGGAGATGGGGTGCCTCTTGCAAGGAGGGAACCCCCTTGGCAGTGCTTGCTGACCCATTATTGTTTTCCTTATCTTTCCTTATCGCGTGACCTTGATTCTGAGTCTGGAACAGCTGCCGCCGCATAAGGACAGGAGCATTTTTCGAGGAAGGGGTGGGGCGCTTGACTCTCCTGGTTCTTTCCCTGTGAGCAGTGAGAGGGGCAAGGCTTATGCCTCTCTTCTACGACCGGCTAGGCCTGCTCGGCTGCCCTTTTCTGGGCGTCTGACACCCTCCTTCCTTTTTCCTACCACCTGGTTCCAAACACCCTGCCCCCACCCGCGGGGGGCTGACCTTGGGATGTCCTTGAAGCTTGGAGCCTGGGCTAGCCCTAGGATCCTGGGTGGATTGGAAGGAGCACCCCATGCAGTCTGATCTGGGTTCTAATCTCAGATTCGGGGTGCTGTGTAGCTTGAAGCAGACCTTTTTCTTCTCTGGGCTTAGATGACTGTATCTGGCCCTCTGTCCTGTCATAACCTGTTGATGACCTTTCAATTCTAAAATACCTCGGTTCGATTTTGTTTCTAGGCAAGGTGACCCCATGGCAAAGCGCAAGCCAGAAGGGTCCTACTTCTACATGAGCCACCTGTCCACGGCTCTGGCCTTTTCCTTTACCCCAGTTGCCAGTGGGCAACCCCACTCTCAGCTGGGCAACACCCAGCAACAAACACAGTTAGGAAAGGTACAGGAGGTAGGCCTAGGTTAGGGACGTTGGGTATAAGGGAGAGCCGGGGACAAGAGGTGCCCCAAGACTTGCTGGGTGTGGGGCAGGGGAGGTAGGGAACATCTGTCCTGCCCCCCAGGCAAGGGACCCTGCTCAGGGGAGACTGTGGTAAGACCCAGCTGACCAGTCCTTCCTGTCTGTCTCCTCGACTCAGGAAGTCGTGACCACCAGCACCATGCCCTACCAATACCCAGCGCTGACCCCGGAGCAGAAGAAGGAGCTCTCTGACATTGCTCACCGCATCGTGGCTCCGGGCAAGGGCATCCTGGCTGCAGATGAGTCCACCGGTGCGCACAGGAAACAGTGGGGGGAGGCCCGGGACTGGGAATGGCAGGCTGACCCCCATATTCCCATGTGACACCCCACCAGGAAGCATCGCCAAGCGGTTGCAGTCCATTGGCACCGAGAACACTGAGGAGAACCGGCGCTTCTACCGCCAGCTGCTGCTGACTGCTGACGACCGCGTGAACCCCTGCATCGGGGGTGTCATCCTCTTCCATGAGACACTCTACCAGAAGGCTGACGATGGGCGTCCCTTCCCCCAAGTTATCAAGTCCAAGGGCGGTGTTGTGGGAATCAAGGTGAAGGGCCTTGGCCTCGGGACATGAAGTTTGGGATGGATCCTGGGGAGAGAGCCAGATTAATAGGGCAGGGGTGAACACTGGTTTGGAAGCCTGGAGACCTGGATGGAGTCCACCCTGCTTGGCACCGTTACTCGTCAGTTCTGAGGGAGGTGGTGTTTCTGTTTTACAGATGAACAGCCAGAAGCTCAGGGGAGAGAAGTGTTTTGCTCAGGAGCTCAGGTCTCCTGACAGCCAGTGCAGTTAACATGCGTTGTTAACTAAATGAAAATATTTACAAACCCCAAATGCTGCTTGAGATGTAAAGCACGGATGGGAAAGACTGGGGCCACAGGGAGGAAAGGTTCTTAAAGATGATTTCCCTCATCTTGTGTTGCACCTCACCCCAACAGGTAGACAAAGGCGTGGTACCCCTGGCAGGGACGAACGGCGAGACCACCACCCAAGGTGAGAACTGTGTGACTCCCTCCCCTCCCAGTCCAACTCACCTGGGTAGCCTCTTTGGGTGCCAGAGCTCAGTGGCAGCCATGTGACCCTCTCTTCCATCTGCTCTGACTCTTCCAATCTTTTTTTTTTAAAGAATTATTTTATTTAACTTTATTTATTTTTAAAATTTGACCAGAGAGGGAGAGAGAGGGAGAAAGCAAAAACAAGCCACCAGGTCCAGGACTTAAACTGTGGTCAGCCATGTAGGAGTCCAGCGCCCTTAACCACCATGCCACCTGCTGGCCCCTCCTTCATCTTTTTTTAAAAAAGAGAGGAGTTGTCTTGTTTTTGTTTTTAGTTTCTTCCATGGGATCGGGGTAGGGACAGGGAGAAAAGCGCTTCTAACAGGGTCTTGAAGCTGTGATCCACCCTCAGCTTCAGCCAGCCTGGATCCCGGGCACATGGATGCCCAGGGTGCATAGGGAAGTCTCCAGATGTAAACCGGGAACCTCCCCATGTTGACTCCTCTGTGTTCTCTTCAGGGCTGGATGGGCTGTCTGAGCGCTGTGCCCAGTACAAGAAGGATGGAGCCGACTTTGCCAAATGGCGCTGTGTGCTGAAGATTGGGGAACACACCCCCTCAGCCCTCGCCATCATGGAGAATGCCAACGTTCTGGCCCGTTATGCCAGCATCTGCCAGCAGGTGTGCCTACAGATCCCCAGTAGGCCACATCCCACCTCATTTGGTTCCAGTGTCAGCTTGCTTGCCAGTCATCTGCCAGGATACCCACCTCTCCCAAAGCAGCTGTTCCTGATCCTCACCCAGCATCAGGCTTGGCCCACGGAGAATGCTCAGTGTGAGGCAGAGGGGCAGAGCAGGGAGTGCGTGGGTGGATCAGAGGAGATGCCTGACTCCCCTCTCTGCAGAGAGCTTTGAAGCCAGGAGTTCCTATCACCATCATGATAGGATCTTGGCCATGGCTAAGAAGAG